AATGTACCACGTCCACGGTCCGACTTTGGAAATAATTATGCATACAATGGACCCAGGACAAGGTGCGTTTTTATAAGTCTTCCTACCATTATGGCCAAGTTGCGAAAACAAGGTCAAACAATCCCTATACAATGAAAGGAGACTGCGACCACACAAAAGGCCACACCATCTTGGTCTTCATATCATTGCCGGTATATAGTTGTCTTGGTTATAGTGTAGCGAGAAGACAAATGACACAGTAGATACGAAGAGAAAGTAGGTTTTGATGAATCTCCTGAGATAACATTGTTAAGGGGACTTTAATTTTATATGAAAGTGCATGAAGTGAGACTTTTACAGGAATGAGACCCAGATCTGATGATGTCCATCATATGGTGGACGAAAGCTCAGCCCATTTCACCCGAAACAAGGGAGGATGTCTTGTGGACTGCGTCAACCTTAACGTCGTATAAAAGCCAAACGGCTGCAGTACATCTGGATTCATTCGTCCTCTTCTAATGAAATCGACCTACAAATCTCTTCTTCATGCACTTTCATACAAAATGAAAGTCTACCCAACCATATCGAAAGGAGACTGCTACCAATACAGAAGCTACATCCAGGACTGGCTGAAATCCTAAATACTTATATGCTCTAAACGTAAAACATTAAGGCCGCTTTAACGTTAGCATATGGAGTTGGATAAGATTAGAGACATAGAGGAAACACGAAGTGCCTCCGAGCAAGAGAAGGAGGCTTGATTAGCCCTAGAACTGGTATTCACTTTTAAATCCCACGTATCTCACAAACATTGCATGCACACAACACGTGCAATGGATGCGAACAAAAGTTAGGTTCAATGGAACCCACTTACACGCGGTAACATTGCAGGATCAAATATATACGTGATTTAGGGGAGGATGCAGATGCTCGGTCACAATTGCATCCGTCTCACTCTTGATCTGCAGCCATTTCACATATACTACGCAACCACTTTACTTTTTCACAAGCATGATTTGAAGGTAGAGAATAGCCTACAAATCATCAGATATCCAATTAAGTGGACAAAGTTAGACTATAAGAAGTAAATAGGATTGCAGCCAGCCACCTTTCTTGCCTTTATGCTCGGTAAATTATTTTAAAGCATTGTGTGTTGCTCTGGTGACGTGGCTGTGGATTTGTGCGATGAAGTCTTCACTATAGTCCTGTGACCCCGATGAATCCACCTTAAGTGTAAGCGACCTATAGCAATATACTCACCTCTAGCGACCTAGCGTAACTGGACAAAGTTAGGCTATAAGAATCAGATAGGCTTGCGGCTGGGCAACTTTATTGCCCTGGTGCCAAGTAAAATTCATTAAGGCATGGTTTCACGTCCATACGATATCTGCCACAGACGAAGACTTAGCAAGGATTCTTCGTATAAATTCAGTCACAACTCAAAGGCGATCCACCCTCGCTTACCGATGAGATCAACTTACAAATCCATTCCACTCGACTTAAAAAACAAAATGAATTTATTAGGGGATTCTTCAAAACACAGCTTCTCTACATATAAAACACAGTATTCCTTCATCCTAAGGTTAGGTTAACTAACAAATCATTTTAATCTAGAGTTAAGGGACCCATGGAAACCGACCTTTTCATGATGTGAATTTGGTTTTTCAGTAAGCAATTTCTATCTAGACCCAAAAAATTGAACAAGCCTTTAAAGTTGATATTGCCCATCTCCTATGAACATCAGATCTTCCAAGAGGATTAACTCATCCGTTGTGCCCTAAGTTACGGATAACCTTAATTATATGCCCCAAACGTTAATGAGATAGTGATCCTCATTTTGAACTTTAAGACCTTAGATTTTAGGCAGGAAAAACTCAATTTATTACCGTAACAATAAAATCAGTATTACAGTATTAAGAGCACGGACTTGAGGTGCTCCTGCAATTGGCGCAGTTATAAGGTAGATTTACTGGATGAACATTTACTTTCATGAAAACATACAATAAGACATGCAAACGCGTGAAAATAGATATACGATGGCTTAACTGCCTGGGCCATTATTTGCATGAATTGCTAAATACTCATAATGACTAATGAATAACTTGACATGGTGACCTGCATGAGCGGAAAGAGATTCAGTATGAAATTAGTATTCGTCTGAACGTTCGGATGAGCAAAAATTGGACGATAGATCGTTAGAAGAGTGGATAGATGGAATGTGACAAAGGAACACATGCTTCGCAGGTTACCGTTTCTTGGTTTACGCTAGTCAAGCTCTCACACCCTCGCAATGGATACAATACTCCCCCCTTTGCCCAGTCTTGATTCCTTTTTGTCGGCTCTCATACTGTAACACCACTGGCTGCGATTTTTCCTTATAGAAACGAGCTAAAAGGACAGTAATAGTGTGAAAAGGCAATGAGTCCGGAAGTGAGGTATGCGGAATGCAAGTCGACGCTTTGATTCTAAACGGCGGCAACTGCGGATACGGTCGCGTCGAGGTGACGCCTCACGCCGGTGTTGGCGTGTATTTGCTGCCTCAAGTATAGCCGCATGTGAATGTCGAGGTATGTGGTCACCTTGTGTGCAAGGTCGGTCCCGGCGTTCCTCAGGGGTAGCAAAACTTATCCGAACTGAAAGAGGTGGAGGGGCCTGTTGTGGCTTTCCTTGAGATGCCTATCAAGGAAGCTCTGAAGCGGGACGGGCAAGGTTGCCATGGCTTCCAAAAGCTGGGGTTTATAGAAATAACACCTATGACATATACGCTCATCTAAAAGAACTCAAAGAAAGTGATCTCGAATTAAATAACTTGACTGCTTTTATTAGACTGAAGGATTTTATGCGTAAATTCTGAAATTTGTATTATGCACAGAATCAAAGAAAAGGGGGCAAAGCAACTAGTCTATTCCTTCCCACAATAGGTCCTGAGGCAAAGCAAAAGTTATTTGGCTCAAAATCTCGTGACGTTTTCCCTATTGACAATCAGATAACGCGATATGGAGAGTGGAACAGAAAATAGAACGTTATACTAGGACAGCATACTAAGAAAAATTGGATGTAAAATTGATAAACAAATGGCTAAACTGTAAGAAGGCAGTATCCAAGCTACCAAGGGCCAGAGCCTAATACTTGATTGTAAGTCAACTATTCCTCACCAGAGAAAAAAAGTGGGAATTAGTATATTTCAGTAAAAATTTGATAATTTTTCTGTTGAAAGAAACGGTAGGTATTTGCTTTTTAAATAGTTAAATTTTGTCACAGTGATGTGAGTAGGTCTTACGTTGCCATTAAATTTAATGTAGTCTTGCTTGGCAAAAAGGAATTCTGATCCAGGATGGACTGCAGTTTTGACCTGGCCTAGGTCTCATCAACATTGACAACGGGACTCGAACATGGATATAGTCTCGACATGTTAAGAACTACGCCACACTGCCACGAGTGACCTTGGGCCACAAGGTAGAAGTTTATTTCGAGGAAGCCAAGATCTTTTCATATCAAATTTCTGTAGTGGGATTGTTGACGCTAGTACAATTAACTATACTACTTATTTTCCGTTTTATGCGTATGCTTAAAGACTACTAGTAGATCATATATATGTGAGATTAATGAAATCGTGAGGCCTACTCACATCACTATCGGTAGATTAAATTAACAGTCCCCCATCCTCTAAAACGAAATAAGGTGGATGGAGCTCATAGATATGATTTACTGGTAGCATCGAAACAAATTTATAACACGGAAAATAAATAATGTAGCCGATTCTAATGGTAGATACAACTTTTCTCCATCGAAAATCCTACCATAGAAAGTGAAATGGGAAGGGCTTAGACCTCCTTGAAATTCGCGTCTAATCCGCGATCCAAGGGTACTCTTGGCCGTATGGCGTAATGGTTAATGTGTCTAGGTTATACGCGGCGCTACCAGAATTCGACTCCCTTGGGCGCACTGATGAGACCCGGGCCAAGTCGAAACCGCAGCTCACCCTTGGTGAGAATACCGTTTAGAAAGCAAGGATATGTAAAATTCAGGGGAAAAGTGAGGGTACTAATATAATTGCGGGAAAACTCAACCACCAGTCCTTAACAATTTTAGCGAAATAGGGTGAATACAGCTCATACATAAACAAATATTATTTTCAATTCAGAGAATGTGGATAAATGTCTTAGCTCTTAAACGTGCAGCTCTTTATGATGCATCTGTATTATTAATACAAGACAAGAATTAATGACGAACATCCTGAAAATGAGTAAGGATACACAAAATGAACAGTCCCTATAAAAGAGTCAATAGTTTTAGATATCGATTCGACCGGAAGGCTTAAGCAATATAGGAGGCCAGTTCTCAACTGAAAACGTGTGCATGATAAAGTACGGTATACTCTGATTTGAGGCTTAATGACAAAATTTTACAGTCACGTTGTAATCTCGATGCCGTTTTGTTCCAACGATACATCTAACATAAAAAGCAAAGCCTAACCCAGATTAATCAGGAACCTAGGGGATCATCCTAAGGAGTCCGGCATAACTAGGCTTCGATTTACTTAAGCGAGTGCACAGATGACTAAGAGCCATCTCCATTCACCTTGATTTTAGGCCATCCAATAAAATTCTATAAGAAAATTTTCAGAGAAAGTTGTGTAAAGTAAATATAGACAAATTCTCTAGAAATTGATCAAAAATGTCTAAGGTTTCATTGGAAAAATCAACTAAACGGGAACTTAGTATCGGAAACGAATAATATCGAGCCATAATGAGAGTATTATAAGATCAGCGAGGAAATCAGCGGATTAGACTTATTTATAACTATCTTAAGTGAATAAAAAAGGCATGCAGTCTCTTTTTAGTAAACGTATCATGAAAAATTAGTTAGATAAGAACTGGAATACAAATAGGATAGTTGCGGTAGAAAATAACTAGTCCAATCGCAGTCATATTCGGATTTAAGTAGTGCTAAAATATATTCTTTATTGATATACCTACAATACATTAAATAGCTTAGAGGCCTGTCTTTTCTACGTAAGGTGGTGGCGACAGGATTGTATAGCACACTCAAAATAAAGGCCTGTAAAGCGAAACATCATGGCTTCGAACCTGGTTGTGATTGGTGGTGTGGCGTTGGCGCGGTTAAAACTTAACTTCATCCTGAATTAGAGTACACTTTGAAGCACGAAATAGACATTCAGTAAGAAAACGAAGCCTTCTAAGCATTACATTTTGAGTGGATCCACTATACTTCTCTAAAAACTCAATAGACCAGATGTTCAGAAGTTATTAAAAGTTTTACATGAGCGAACCAAGCTCATAAAACGTTAAAGAATATAGCATGAAGGTGGTTCCACAGAGGTTTCTATAATTTGCGACCGTGTAACCTGATTTTAATCTGTGATGTAAAAAGTGCCACTATTTTATTTCATTGTATACAGTTACTGGTGAAATAGGTATTTAAAAGCCAAAACTTATAGCACCAAATTCTGTCATACACATGATTACCTTGATCCGATTTTGAAAGATAGCATCATTTTAATTATTGTATTCAAGAAAAGTTATTTTAAATTTCCTATCGTTTGCTTTTTCACGTATAAAGTTCAGTATTCAGTATATTAAGAGCTCCGGTTACCCTATGTTACATAAAGTGCTAAAGGATATGAGTAGGCCTTGTGTTTCCATTGTATCTCAGTTATTCTTGCTTCCAAAAAGGCCTAGTGAAATTCATGGGAACTGTGAAGCCTACTCATACTATTGTGGAAAAATTCAACTATCAGTCCTTCATCACCTTATGCGACCTAGGGTTACCGGAGCTTTCATTTCATATGCACTAATAGTTTCAAAATATACTTATTTATGAATATGAGCTTCAACATGTTGCCTGAAAAAAGGACACAGAAGGCGGGCGTGTCATTACTTAGAGCATAAATGTGCGGGGAACCTTGATGGCAGGTCGAACTGTTTATGCTTGGGTCCTAAATACTGGAGTTATATATGTTTGGCGCCAATTAAAAACAAATAAAAAATAGTTTAAAAACTTAATATCTCGCCTCCAGAGCAAAACTCATATGGTATGCAGCAGTCTACACACAAACGTGGTATTTAGGATCCCAAAGACCAAAGCTCAGTTAATACTAAATGCGACGTTCTTTGACGTTAACTCTTTTTCAATGCGATTATCAGAACAAAGATAGTGTACAACTAACAGTTAAGTTTTAAACCAATAGACGGCCTAAATTATTGTACTAGACAAGATTTGAACTTTGGGTCTGATAGGAGTACAAAAGCATTCAACGAAGAGTATGCTGAAGAGTGAAATTCTCATAATAGCAATTAATAGTTATAATGAATTTCAATTGTGTATATGAAATATGCCCTTGCCCAAGTTTTAATAAACTTTATAAGACAGGTATAAGTAGATAATACATTTCTAATAGGATATAGCCTACAAAAGACATGTAGAACACGCCCATGTAAACATTCCTAAAGATACCTGTATTCATGTGCAAGCTAGTTGAAGGATCGTGGGCCAAAATACCTTCGAGCGAAAATGATTGAAAATGAATTGATAAATGGGAAAGTGAGGACCTTTAGAAAAATATTTTTGGTTTAAAAATGTGGGTAAAACACTCGAACTATAAACTTGTCACAAATAAGCAAGGGGTCACCCCTGAGGCTGACTATAGCCCAAGAACTGCTCATCTCAGACTAAACTCTGAAATATGTGTCAACATCTACTCAAAAGCACATTTAATTTAAAAAAAAATTTTTGTAATGAGAGTTACAAGTTAAGAAAACTCGAGTGAATTTTATATTGAACGTAGGTATGAAGACCAAGATGGTGTGGCCTTTTGTATGGTCGCAGTCTCCTGTCGTTGTATAGAAGTT